GTGTGTTTGATTTTGGTTTGTGAGATATGAGTTTTGAGGGATTTCTTCGCTTCTTCTTTATAGGAGTGGAGTGCGAAGAGAATCTAACCTCTTTATGCTTTTTTCTTTATGTTGTTATTAGAAAAAAAGGAATAGTGAATATTTTATTAATAAAAATGGACCGAATTGGTTTATCGACCCACGCGGAGGAATTCGATGCTAGGTTGAGAAATCTAACGGCTGAGATTGAAAGAAAGACAAATCGGATTCGGCTTGTGTGGACGCGTGTAATCTACGCTATTGACGAAATTGCTAGGAATGGATAGAATAAAGGAAATAAATGCCGACAAAAAGGAAAAAATAATTAATATATAATAATAAAGGGGATGACTAATTCTTTTTTTTTTTGCTTCATATTGGGATGCTTTTGTATATGTTGAATATGGAAAATGTGTTTATTTTATAATACAGAATCTAACACCTCCCCACCTACCAAAAATTTCGACAATTGGAAACGTTCTTTTTTCGATTTGTTTAATACTTAAATGTTGTGTGAAAGTTAGTGCTACGAACTGGTTCATCAATTAGAAGAGAATTTGCACCCACAAACTTACTATATTATTCTTAGCAAAAAAAAAACTTACTATATTATTATGACAAAAAAAAAATCTTACTATATTGGAGAAGTAATCAAAGGAAGAGGAAACCCACTACTGTTTTTCAAAGGAACTAGGTGATTCTTCCGCGTACACGCGGATAAATTATTTATATAATTTTGTTTGTAATTTAGTTTTTAAAATATAAAATATGTAGTTGTTTTGATTTTTTTATTATAAACATTGTTGTTGATTCTTTTGTTGTTAATTTATTATATAGTCAATAATATATTTTTTATTAATAATATAAATTTTAGAAATTTAGTTTTATCATTTAATAATTTATTAATTTTATATATGTAAACATGTCAAATCAAAATGTATAATAATTTAATACATTAGAGATAAAAGAAAACATGTTAAATTTGGCTTGTCCGACTATTTTAAGTAGAATTTAGAATACAAATAAATTATTTAATATTTCAAAACATTAAAATATAGAGTTTTCTACAAATAAATCCTCCAAGTGATTAGCATTTGCGATTTTACCCTCCAAGTCAATATCATAATCATAAATTTTATAAATGAAACACATATTAAAAAAAAAATTGTTGCTTTCGAATTAAAAAATCTTTTTTATTACTTTCAATTTGTCTTGCGTTAAAAAAATATTTCAAAAGAAAAAGAAAACTTATATTTGTTGTCATAAACTTGAGAACTTTTTTTCACAAACATATCAAAATCTCTTTTAAAAATTTAGTAAGTTTTTATTATTATCTTCAAAAATAATATATATTCTATAAAAAATGTTTTATAATTTATAAGTACAATACTCAATTTCTAAACTATTTTTAAATGAGAAACCAAATTTGTATATAATTTTGAGAAATTTCAAAAAATACCACTTTTCAAATGCCAATTTACAAAAAAGGCCACACTTTTGAAATCTTTACAAAAATGCCATTTTTTCAAAATTATTTTTTCTTTATATTATTTATGTTTGGATTAGTTATGTTCTATTAGGGTTTAGTTATGAGGGTTTAGGGGGTTTAGGGGTCAAAACATTT